GGAGGGATGGAGGGACGGAGGGATGGAGGGATGGAAGGACGGAGGGATGGAGGGACGGAGGGATGGAGGGATGGAAGGACGGAGGGATGGAAGGACGGAGGGATGGAGGGATGGAAGGACGGAGGGATGGAGGGATGGAAGGACGGAGGGATGGAGGGATGGGGGGATGGAAGGATGGAGGGACGGAAGGATGGAGGGGAGCGGTACCTTCCGTGCGGGGCAGGTGGGCTCCGGCCGGCGTCAGGGCATAGGGGTACCACCAGGTCTGGGCGCGCTCCAGGCAGTGGGCGCTCAGGGCGAAGCGCGGCGCCGGGATCTCGAAGCGGGGGAAGGCGAGGCCGCCCACCTGCGAGAGGGCGGAGCGGAGAGGAAAGGAAAGGAAAGGAAAGGAAAGGAGAGGAAAGGAAAGGAAAGGAAAGGAAAGGAGAGGAAAGGAAAGGAAAGGAAAGGAAAGGAGAGGAAAGGAAAGGAAAGGAAAGGAAAGGAGAGGAAAGGAAAGGAAAGGAAAGGAAAGGAGAGGAAAGGAAAGGAAAGGAAAGGAAAGGAGAGGAAAGGAAAGGAAAGGAAAGGAAAGGAGAGGAAAGGAAAGGAAAGGAAAGGAAAGGAGAGGAAAGGAAAGGAAAGGAAAGGAAAGGAGAGGAAAGGAAAGGAAAGGAAAGGAAAGGAGAGGAAAGGAAAGGAAAGGAAAGGAAAGGAGAGGAAAGGAAAGGAAAGGAAAGGAAAGGAGAGGAAAGGAAAGGAAAGGAAAGGAAAGGAGAGGAAAGGAAAGGAAAGGAAAGGAAAGGAGAGGAAAGGAAAGGAAAGGAAAGGAAAGGAGAGGAAAGGAAAGGAAAGGAAAGGAAAGGAGAGGAAAGGAAAGGAAAGGAAAGGAAAGGAGAGGAAAGGAAAGGAAAGGAAAGGAAAGGAGAGGAAAGGAAAGGAAAGGAAAGGAAAGGAGAGGAAAGGAAAGGAAAGGAAAGGAAAGGAGAGGAAAGGAAAGGAAAGGAAAGGAAAGGAGAGGAAAGGAAAGGAAAGGAAAGGAAAGGAGAGGAAAGGAAAGGAAAGGAAAGGAAAGGAGAGGAAAGGAAAGGAAAGGAAAGGAAAGGAGAGGAAAGGAAAGGAAAGGAAAGGAAAGGAGAGGAAAGGAAAGGAAAGGAAAGGAAAGGAGAGGAAAGGAAAGGAAAGGAAAGGAAAGGAGAGGAAAGGAAAGGAAAGGAAAGGAAAGGAGAGGAAAGGAAAGGAAAGGAAAGGAAAGGAGAGGAAAGGAAAGGAAAGGAAAGGAAAGGAGAGGAAAGGAAAGGAAAGGAAAGGAAAGGAGAGGAAAGGAAAGGAAAGGAAAGGAAAGGAGAGGAAAGGAAAGGAAAGGAAAGGAAAGGAGAGGAAAGGAAAGGAAAGGAAAGGAAAGGAGAGGAAAGGAAAGGAAAGGAAAGGAAAGGAGAGGAAAGGAAAGGAAAGGAAAGGAAAGGAGAGGAAAGGAAAGGAAAGGAAAGGAAAGGAGAGGAAAGGAAAGGAAAGGAAAGGAAAGGAGAGGAAAGGAAAGGAAAGGAAAGGAAAGGAGAGGAAAGGAAAGGAAAGGAAAGGAAAGGAGAGGAAAGGAAAGGAAAGGAAAGGAAAGGAGAGGAAAGGAAAGGAAAGGAAAGGAAAGGAGAGGAAAGGAAAGGAAAGGAAAGGAAAGGAGAGGAAAGGAAAGGAAAGGAAAGGAAAGGAGAGGAAAGGAAAGGAAAGGAAAGGAAAGGAGAGGAAAGGAAAGGAAAGGAAAGGAAAGGAGAGGAAAGGAAAGGAAAGGAAAGGAAAGGAGAGGAAAGGAAAGGAAAGGAAAGGAAAGGAGAGGAAAGGAAAGGAAAGGAAAGGAAAGGAGAGGAAAGGAAAGGAAAGGAAAGGAAAGGAGAGGAAAGGAAAGGAAAGGAAAGGAAAGGAAAGGAAAGGAAAGGAAAGGAAAGGAAAGGAAAGGAAAGGAAAGGAAAGGAAAGGAAAGGAAAGGAAAGGAAAGGAAAGGAAAGGAAAGGAAAGGAAAGGAAAGGAAAGGAAAGGAAAGGAAAGGAAAGGAAAGGAAAGGAAAGGAAAGGAAAGGAAAGGAAAGGAAAGGAAAGGAAAGGAAAGGAAAGGAAAGGAAAGGAAAGGAAAGGAAAGGAAAGGAAAGGAAAGGAAAGGAAAGGAAAGGAAAGGAAAGGAAAGGAAAGGAAAGGAAAGGAAAGGAAAGGAAAGGAAAGGAAAGGAAAGGAAAGGAAAGGAAAGGAAAGGAAAGGAAAGGAAAGGAAAGGAAAGGAAAGGATCTTGGGGGTGGGGTCTCAGCAATTTATAGGACTTTACAGAAATACTCTGCTCTTGTTAACAACTGTTTCACTTAAAGGCATCAGGCAAAGTACGGCTCATGGGGAATTTTTCAAAGAAACGATATTTCAGTGGAAATACTCCTCAACTCTGGGGTAAAATGTATAGAAAAAATGAGAGAGAGAAAACAGTTTCTATACAGAAAACAGCTGATAGTTACCTAACCAGGGGTCTCGCCTATCCTATGAGGACGTGGGCTAAAGCTCTATTTTATCTGTTTGCAGCTCTTACATGAAAAAACAAGGTTGCAAGTTCTTATAGGAGACCCCAGTTCATTTCTCCACCTCAGTGAAGATCTTGATTTAGACATGAGTCACCAAAATCATTCTGTACTGAGACTCCTACCCTTTTCCATCCATCTTTCACTGCTTTGGCAACTATGAGGTTCTAATCCTGCTGGAGTCTCTTAGGGTGAACAACCACTTGTGGTAGAAAGCCAAGCAGGGACAGAAACCCAAGCCAACCTCTGAAGATGTTAAAAGAAATTTCCACTTTGCATGTTTTATTACAAAAAGAAACAAAAAAGAAGGCAATCAATGTTCTAAAGGAGCCTTTCTACATCTCTGTCATTTGTGACCCATTGGTTTCTCACATATTTATGTATTTTATTTATGCGGCCCCCCCCC